GTTTCATGGTGGTTGAATAAAACAGTAAGTGCTTCCAAAGGAAACTGGTTTTAAATTTCGAAGGAGAGGAGGTCGAGTGTTTTATAGCACAGAGCATTCATTATTATAACTTAGTATAATAATTTGACGGTCAAAATGAAAGACAATTATGAATTAAAGACGACTAAAAACACACATTAGTTTGGACTCCTATATCATAGTTTGTTTTTAAAAAAGTTTTATAACACTGTTTTGTAACAAAAAAATGGGTTTATATATTAGTGTTTTGTGATTAAAGAAAGAGTTGAGCGAACAAAAGAGTGGCATGCAGGGTTGTAAATGTAACATAACAATAGTACAATACATATATCAATTTTAGTTAGTTTCTTAATTATTATTTTTTTTTGGTTATTGAGCAAATTAACCCCAAACGCAGTGGTATGATGGACACTTGCTGTCTGGCTCAATTGTAGAAGTCAACTGCATTGTCCATTGATGAGATGGGGAGTTTGCATGCAACCATATTTGTTGAATATCTACGTTTATTCCCCTCTTATTTAGGCTCCTATTGAAATTCAACGTCAGCTCTTTAATTGGCTATAGCATATCCAATCCGCACCCTCGGGTATACATAAATTTAAAAACCAATATCAATACAAACGTTTGTTTGGATTACAAACTCGTGGAGATTGTAAAAACAATGGGGAAATATAGTGACCAATGACACATAGACATGCTAGGTGGGACAAGGTTGAAAAGAGAGGTACGTGTACAACTTGAATTCTCCTTTGGTATTGTCACCTGACATTTTCCTTTTTCTTAAAAAAACACACCAATTTATTATTTTTTATATTATTTATTATATTGTCCGGATTTTATATTTATTAACCAACCATTTAGCCAACTAATCAAATATCAAATCCAGCCCAATCAAGCACCTAGCCATTAGCCTTTAGCCGAACCGGTTATAACAAAGAGTAAAGCTCTTTGATACCGTCTTAGTCCCCACTACTTCATAAAATCTATTACGCACCTCAACTTTAAAATTCCACACGTATATGCATATAAATCTGACCAAGAGGGATGCATTATTGATCCCAAACAAGTATATCTTGTTAGTAGTTTACCTATACTAATTTTAACATTATCTAAACGAAACTAATCAATACTTTTGTGAACATTATCTAAACACACAAAGATTTAATACTAGATAGATGATGATTAACAACATTAATATAAATGCTACAGGCTACTGCCTATATTATTCAAGCTAAATTATGTATAAATTCGCTAGAGGACAAAACAAGGGCTACTCCTGGTGAGAGAACAAGAGATACCTTCTCCATCGAGAGATAACTTCCAAAGTATTTCCAAATTATAATAATAATTTTTTAATAAATTTAAATCATATAATTTAAACACACTAAATTAAACCTCTTATAAAATGGACAAATAGAGAGATCATCCCCAGAACCGTTTCTAAAATCTCTCAAATAACATATTCTCTTCTTTTTTTTTCATTATTATACTTATTAGAGACTTCAAAAATCCTCCGATGGAGGTGCTCAGGTAGGTACAGCCGCTACTTTTATTTTTCTTTTCGAAAAGTACTACAAGTAATTTACAGGATAAGTTTTGCGTACTGAAATTTTTTAAAACCAAAATAAAAAATGGTTGCATTATTTTACGAGAAAAGCAATGGAAATTTTGAAAAACGAAACGAAACCGTGTCAATGTTTTGGATGTAGGAGTCGTCGTCATCTTTTTAATTAAAGAGAGCATGGATTTTCTTCATTGAAAGAACATTTTAAAATTGTAGTATTTTTGGAATCCAGCTGTTAACAGAGAGGCGATTGCGAAAAATTACGTGTAAGAAAATTAAATTAGCTGTACTCG